CTTCCTCCTCTGATGCCCACTGTGTCATGTTGTTGTTTGTTGTTGTTGTCGTTGAGTCGTGTCCGACTCTTCATGACCCCATGGACCAGAGCACGCCAGGCACTCCTGTCTCTCACTGCCTCCCGCAGTTTGGTCAAACTCATGCTGGTAGCCTTGAGAACACTGTCCAACCATCTTGTCCTCTGTCGTCCCCTTCTCCTTGTGCCCTCCATCTTTCCCAGCATCAGGGTCTTTTCCAGGGAGTCTTCTCTTCTCATGAGGTGACTGGGTCATAGTGGTTACCTAAGAACATAAGAAGAGTCTGCTGGTTCCAGCCAATGGCCCATCTAGTCCAACATCCTGTTTTCACAGGGACCACCCAGATGCCTGTGAGAAAGGCACCAAGCAGGATCCAACCAAATCAGCACTCTCCTCTCCTTTGGTTTCCAGCAACTGGTACTCTGAAGCACTGCTGCTCCCAACCACTATTCCACCATTACTCATGGGGGCATTTCCAGAGAGTAGCATTGGCTGATTGCTTTTCGGCTGCAGGGTTCCATATTATTCGCAACGCTATTTAAAATCTGTATGAAACCATTGGGGGATTTGGGGCATGATGTCACCTGTGCATTGAAGACTCACTTCTCTGTTTTTCTGTGACATCTGAATCGGCTTTGGCTGTGCGAGTCCTTGGTTGGTATCTGGACTCAGTGGTGGGTGGGATGAGAGTGAATAAACGGAAACTGGATCCTTCTTAAGCCAGAAGCTCTGTTCATGGGTGGTTTCCAGGTCCAGTAGCTTGCTCAGTAACCTATTTGTGATGGGGCTGCACTCCCAATGAAGGAGGAGGTTCATAGCCTGGGAGTGCTACTAGATTCATCATGGTTGCTGGAGGCCCAGGTGTCTGCAGTGATGAGGAGCGCTTTCTACTGCTTCTAGCTGGTGCAGCCTTTCCTGGACAAGTTGGTCACGGTGGTGTGCGCACTGGTAACTTCAAGACTGGATAATTTCAAGGTGCTTGTGTTGGCCTACCTTCAAGGCTGGTCTGGAAGCTGCAGCTAGTGCGAAAGGCAGCAGCTAGATGACTTTGTGGAGCAGCCCATCCTCAGCATATGTCACCAGTGCTGTTAGAACTGCACTGGCTGATGAAGTGTTGCTGGGTCAAGGTCTTACTTTCAGTTTAGAAGACCCAGAACAACCCAGGACCAGGACCACTTTGTTCCCCATGACCTCTGCACTCAGCTGCTGGGGCCTTGTGGCATATGGGGCTGGCTCACCTGTGTCATTTTTTCAGCTGTCCTACTTTTCTTCTGGCCTGCTCTTAGCTTTCAGTCCTCATCCAATTAGCAATGCATATGCAGAGTCAGTGGGATTTTTTTTCTTTTTCAAATACGGACTGTCCCATATGATAGGTATGCAAATAAGCAGTCTACTTTTAGATTGAATTTAATACTTTAAAAAAAACAACAACTTAAGCTTGAAAAAAACCGAGTAAGTGTTATAACAGGTTGCCCAGGCGTTGCATTTTAGAACAGCCTTTCAATTATTCTTCAAATGGGACTTCTTAGAATCAGAGTGTGCTTGGCTTAGCTTCTTTAAAAAGCGCTCAGAAGTTTCAACTGATGCAAAATTTTGCAGGAAGGGTTCTAGGAATAGTCCATGTAGGGAGCCTATTGTTGTACCTTCACCACCATAGCTGTCAACATTTCCCTTTTTTAAAGGGAAATTCCCTTATTCCGAATAGGATTCCTCGCAAGAAAAGGGAAAAGTTGACAGCTATGTTCACCACTTGGCCAATCAGTCAACATCCAATCAGGGCTTCCTCTTCTTCTGGTTTCCTCTGGAGAGAGCATGGGAGAGCCCTGGTGTTCCTGCAGTGTTTATTTCATTTACAAATAGGCTTGTTAAACAGGAGCAAGCACTGTGTGCACTCCTGCCATGACACAGATCCACTATCTCCTACCAGATCCCGTAGGAACACAGGATGCCTGTCTTCAGTGGAGGTTCCTGTGTGCAGCAAAGTGTTGTACGGTCCTCCCAGGTTTCTGAGCCCCTCCCCAAACCTTCCAAGCCGTAGTCCAGACTTTATCCTGATATCCAGTGTCATTATTTAATGACGTGGGTGGTGCTGTGGTCTAAACCACTTAGTCTCTTGGGCTTGCTGATCAGAAGGTCAGCAGATTGAATCTGCATGGCGGACTGAGCTCCTGTTGCTCTGTCCCTGCCTCTGCCAACCCAGCAGTTTGAAACCACGCCAGTGCAAGTAGATTAATAGGTACCACTGCAGCAGGAAGGTAAACAGTGTTTCCGTGTGCTCTGGTTTCCATCACGGTGTTCTATTGCGCCAGAAGTGGTTTAGTCATGCTGGCCACATGACCCAGAAAGCTGTCTGTGGACAAACACCAGCTCCCTCAGCCTGAAAGCGAGATGAGTGCCACAATCCCATAGTCGCCTTTGACTGGACTTAACCATCCAGGGGTCCTTTAGCTTTTAGTGCTGTGCTGTTTTTACCATCTGCATTTTTATAGAGTTGTTTTACATCATTTCAAATTCTAACTATTGTCTTTTATATGTTTAGCTATCTGTGGTTGGGTTTTTTGTGAGCCACCCAGGGGAAAAGGTGGGATGGATATATATATATATATATATATATATATATATATATATATATATATATTTCCCACTAACTGAGAGGCTCCTTACATGTTTCTGCCCATGTCCTCTGCTTAGCCAATCAAACTAATCACTGCCAGCAGGTCGTATCTCTGTCTCTAGCAACTTTTTCTTATAGAAATCGCTTGGTTCAGGTAGTGAGTTTATTGCCCTTTACCTCCACAGGAGAAAAATAAGATAGAGGGTTATAATGGGAGTCGGTCTCTGGTAGCCTGCCCTGTCAATCTAGTTTATTTTTTTGTTAATGAAAAAATTAAGTGGGATCGGTTACAGTACAAAGATTTGGAATATCCCAGTGCATATTTTCCACCTATGTGAGATTGTCTATTTACTCTTATCTCCTGCTTCCTGTTACTTAACTGGTTGCTAATCGATAAGAGGACCCTTCCTGTTATGTGATTGCTAAATTTACCTAGGAAGGCCCTTTGTTGAGTGACTTTGTCAACAGCTTTCTGGAAGTCCATATACATAATGTCTACTGGATCACCACTAAGTACAAGCCTGTTGAATTGCAAAGAAATCCAAAAGATTGGTGAGGAGGACTTTCCATTGCAGAAAACCACTAGTTCTTCCCCTGAAGGGCTTGGTCTTCTGTGGTTGATAATTCCTATCCTTACAAATGCTTCCCACTAATTTATTTAGAACTGATGCCATTTGGTTTGTAATTTCCTGGCTCCTCCCAGAACCCTTGTTGTATTGGCTGTTTTCCAACCTTTGAGTAAGGAGGTCAGTTTTAGTGACATGTTCCAAATGTTAGTTAGTACATCAATTTCACTAAGGCGTTTTTGAGATCTCTCAAGCTCTTAACAATCTACAGTATAAATATCCAAATATCTTAACTACTTGCTTCCAGGCAAAGACAAGAAATGGAATTTCTGTTTCCCAATAATGTGAGAATTCTAATACCAAAAATTGTCTCCTTTGCTTGCTTACTTGCAAATGTACAGCTTTTTTAAAATTATTATTTTTTAAATCGCACTGTGGTTTTTTTTACCAGTACTGAACATTGCATTTTTATTTTATTTCTATAAATATTTATATAGTGCTGAATCATAAAGATACATCACAGCCATTTACAATTGTGATGGCCTCTACAAAATATATCTGGACTGAACTGTTCCCCCCTCCCCATCATACGGCTCCTTCACAATTCATCTTTATGTAGGTTTCCCATATGTCAGGAAAATTCCTGACATGTCCTGGTTTTGGGGTGTAAAAATGGTGCCGGGGGCAATTTTGCCAAATCTTCAAAATGTCAGGGAAAACCTGGATGAATGGCAACATGATAGAAAAATTAGTGGAAACAGCAGGGGCATAGCTAGCTGCACCAGGAGCTGCGGGGGCAGGGTGAGCCACCCACGGGGGTGCCGCAGCAATCTGCGCATGGGGGCACCGCCCAGGGGTGCTACGGTGAACGGTGATCCGCCCAGGGGGGCAGCGATCTGCCCACAGAGTCCATCTGGTGCATGCAAGCCCCACACTGCTGTTTTGGGCAGGGTGGGGTTCCGTGTCACTGTGTCACTCCCAGGAGAGATGCGTAGCTCAGGTGTGCTGCAGGCCAGGCCCCGTGCTAAGTGCCACCTCACCCATGGTGTGACATTTTGTCACCCCCCCTCAAGGATGACACCCGGGACGTACCACACACCTCGCACCCCCCTTCCGACGCCCCTCAGAAACAGCTCCAAAAGCTTAAAATCACTACAGTGGTACCTCAGGTTAAGTACTTAATTCGTTCTGGAGGTCTGTTCTTAACCTGAAACTGTTCTTAACCTGAAGCACCATTTTAGCTAATGGGGCCTACCGCTGCCGCTGCGCCGCCGGAACACGATTTCTATTCTCATCCTGAAGCAAAGTTCTTAACCTGAGGTATTATTTCTGGGTTGGTGGAGTCTGTAACCTGAAGCGTATGTAACCTGAAGCGTATGTAACCTGAGGTACCCACTGTATTTTGTGTTGAGGTTTCCCCCCAAAAGCTCAACAATTTGGGTTTGCTCCCCAAAAAGATTCTCAACGATTTTGGTGGTTTCCTAAAAAAAAAACCAAAAAACAGCAATTTGGGGGTCTGCCAAGTAAAAAGCCACTTTGTGGGTGTCAGGAATTTTACTTTTTGAAATATGGCAACCCTATCTTTATACTTAACAAACTTTATTGTTTCTCCTCCTCTTCTGAGGTTTGCAATGTAGCCGAAACCGCTCTTTCTCTTCTTCTAACTGCCTTAAGTTATGCGGGGTTTTTTTTTCTTTTCAGACTATTTTGATTTTCCCAAAGGTTTTTTTTTCTTCTCTCTCTCTCATTACTTTTGATCTTCGGAGTTTCCGCCCACGTGACTTTCAGTTGAGTCCCTTGCAGCTTCCGAGAAACCACAGCAGCTAAGCTCTAAAGAGAGGGAACTATCAGAGTGAGCTGCAGACTCTGAAAGGACAGGAATGTAGACACTGGGAGAGTGTCAAAGAAAGTGACCAAGAAGTCAGAAGGAGAGGGAAAGGAGGAAAGAGGAAAAGTCAAAAGAAAAGGAGGGAGAGAATCAGCAAGGACCTCCAGGAAGCAAGAAAGGAAAGACCACAGGCAGGGGGAGCTGTAAGCCATGCCCCATAGCTCTGACAGCAGCGACTCCAGCAGCTACAGCCAGTCCTCTTCATCCAGCAAACAGGTACAGTTTGGGCAATTCCTTTTGAGTTAATTTTATGGCTGTCTCTCTTTTTTTCTAGCAGGGCTCCTGTGCCTTGAGCACAAAACACAGAAATTCAACAGATGCAGCATCTCCTAGCATGGAGAAAACTTTGCCTATAGGATTTCTGCCCGTTTATGCTTAAAGGCACCAGAACAACTCCAGATATGAAATATGAGCTCCAATGGATACCGTCTTGCCACTTTGCCAAACACTTCGGTTCGTCTCGTGTGCTGAAACAGAGAGGAACAGAATGAATGAGAAACGTTCAGCGCTGTTGGGATTTTGGTAGGACTTTGAAGGAACTGGTGTAGGGACAAACCCAGGAAAATGCTATTCAGAAAAGCTAAACCAATGATAAGAAGCTAGGCAATAGGCTAATACGAAACAGTTAAAGTTACAGCAGTGCAGGGACCGAATGAGGAAGCTTGGTGATACTCTTGCAGAAAAGCATCACAAGTGTCATTGATGGAGCAGAATAACTGTTTACAGATAGGTGGCATAAAATGACCTCATCTGCTTGGCACTGCTCAAGCCTCTGCTGGATTGTGCCATTCTCCCTGGGGTGAAGTCACGGTCCCAAAAAGGAAGAAACTTTGGAGGTCATAGAATCATAGAATTGTAGAGATGGAAGGGACCCCATGGGTCATCTAGTCCAACCCCCTGCGATGCAGTAATCCTGCCCATAGCCATCCCTGGGTGGGCTTGAACTACCAACCTTCTGGTTAGTAGCCAGGTGTGCTGATCAATTGTGGTCCTCTCAAGAAAACGTTGAAAGAGTTAAGATGCCGCCAGCACCACAACCACCCAAGATGGGATAAGTTTTAAAATCCTAAGATGGAGACCAGATATTTACTTTGCTAGGAACAGGTCCTTAAAACTTGAACAAATCTGTGCAAAGAGTTCATAGACTCATATACTAAAGGAAGTAGGAACCCTACAAGAATTGTTAAACACAACACAGTAAGAGATTATCCAAGGAAGGCATGAAATTACATCATTGGACATGATGTAATTTTTTAAAAAGTGAGGCAAAGGCATGTGGACAAAGACATGGGTGAATCGATTTTTTTATCTTAACATTTATATCCCTCCCTGCTTCCTTCATGAAACCCAAGGCAGCATACGTATGATTCCCAGGTAGTCCATCACCTATTGAGAGACACTAAGCAGGCCTAAACTGGCGTAGCTTTGTAAGCTGGTAGTCTCTTGTGCCTTCACGCTATATCCTAGGACCATAGCTAGGCTGGGATTGGTAGGTTGGGGGACTTTTACATAAAACCCAATACTGCAGTTCAGGAATGGGGGATTTGCGGCTCTTCAGATACAGTTGGACTATGGCTCCCATCAGCCCCAGCCAGTATGGCCAATGGTGAGGAATGATGGGATTTATAGTCCAGCAACATCTGGAGGTCATCCTTCCCTGCTCTAGTTAACTGAATGTAAGATGAACACCCCAACTGTTTTGTACTGAGAGTTCCAAAAGGGTTGTTGCTCATCTCTGATGTCTCATGTAATTAACATGCTGGTTCTCCTGATCCTTAGATGCACTTACTTCTTCTGCATTAGGAATTGGGGCAAATTTGGGGGAGGGGAGGGTCCTCCATCAAGCTGATAATTAATCTGCCATGGAGACAACGGAGGAGGAGAGAGAATTGCTGAGAAAAACGCTTCCTTCTGCTTTCTATCCCAAGATTGCCATTCTATGCAAGATCCTTACATGTACAGATGTTAAGATGGTATTCCTGTTGTCATACCTTGTACTGCGTGATTCCCCTCACCCAGGAATCTTCGGATGATATGAGAAAAGTACAAAGAAGAGAAAAGAATCGTATTGCAGCCCAGAAGAGCCGACAGAAACAGACACAGAAAGCGGATACCCTCCACATGGTAAGAACTTCCATCCCCTACCCACCAGGATTTCTCTGGTATTAGCCCTGTTTCGTGCAGGTGGGGTGATAAAATTGTTCCTGGACTGTACCACCACAGACTGCAGGTGGGCAATTGTGTGGCTGGGTGTGCCTTTTTGTAAAGGCTCCTTTCATATAATTCAATATTCATTTTTTCGTTGCTTTAGCAATCTGCCATATAGGGCCCTCACAGGAAAAGAAAGGCTCTCTCTTCTTGATTTATGGGAGTCTAGCAGGCAAATCAGCAGAACCTTTCTCCCTTAGTATAGTTCCCCCGCTTGTTCCTATATCAGCAAGGATGTCAACTCATTTTAATACTTTTATGCACTTAATAACACAGATACCACAAATTATCCAGAGCATACACCCTGAATCCCATGGTATACTGTATATGCATTGAGGTGAGCATACCTTCCACAGTACTGCAATGCTAGTACAGTGGTACCTCAGGTTACATACGCTTCAGGTTACAGACTCCGCTAACCCAGAAATAGTGCTTCAGGTTAAGAACTTTACTTCAGGATGAGAACAGAAATCGCGCAGCAGCGGCACGGCAGCAGCGGGAGGCCCCATTAGCTAAAGTGGTGCTTCAGGTTAAGAACAGTTTCAGGTTAAGAATGGACCTCTGGAACGAATTAAGTACTTAACCCGAGATACCACTGTATTGAGCACTGGTTAAAAGTAAGAAGCAATCACACATATCGAACGTTATATCTGCATGTAGAAACCAAGATACAGTATAATGGAGAAAAATTCTCACCTAGCCTTCTCTCTGATATGCTAGTTTTATGTGGGCAAGTAGTTTTTCTTTTTCGCCAGAAAGCATCCAAGCATGCAATTCCCCACCTGCTGTGGTGCATTCCAAGTACAGATCTAGTCCGCTTGTTGCTCTTCTTTTCTGTCTGAACTAGGCCCGTGACTCAGCTCTGCACCAGATCACTCACATTTGTGGCCAATGTCTTTTGTTTGTGGCTCCAGAACTGCTGAAACTGGCCACAGTTGCAAACACAACTGCTTCTGCTGTGGGAAAAGCAGTATCTGCACAACAAGAGCAGCACCTTGTCTGAAGATAAAAGCGCAAATGGGGAAGAGCCATAGCTCAGTAGCACAGCACACAATTTACACCCAAAAGGTCCCAGGCATCTCTAAGGAAGGCTGAAAAAGACCCTTGCCTGAACCCTAGAAATCTGCTGCCAGCCAGTGTCGACAATAGCATAATGCAGAATCCAATGAGGCTGCCTTTGGAAAGATATTTTCAGCAGTACAGTGGTACCTCGGGTTAAGTACTTAATTCGTTCCGGAGGTCTGTCTTAACCTGAAACTGTTCTTAACCTGAAGCACCACTTTAGCTAATGGGGCTCCTGCTGCCGCCGCGCCGCTGGAGCCCGATTTCTGTTCTCATCCTGAAGCAAATTTCTTAACCTGAAGCACTATTTCTGGGTTAGCAGAATCTGTAACCTGAAGCGTATGTAACCTGAGGTACCACTGTATGCCATGCCGCCAATCTGAATTGCAAACAGGATTTTAAAGGAGAGCCAGCCTTGTTCTCTGTACAAAACGTTTCCCCGTGTTTTTGCACCTACAAGGAGAGAGAAGCTCCCCTCCCCTTTATCTTCTGGTGAATTTCCCCATTGCATTGCCGCTTTCCCCAGCTGCTGAAAGAAACAAGTGAGACTTTCCTTCTAGGCCAGTAGCAGGTTTCCTGTGGCAGGTGGTTTTTCTGCTTCTAGATGGCAGTTGTTGACCTCCCCACCCCCACTCCGTCTCCTTGAGGCCTGAGCCGCACGCTCTCTCGGGTCAGGATGTCTGTGGCCGAGGAAATACGCGTGTATGAAAAGGGCTTGGTGACAGGCAGTGGGAACCTACAGGCGGCGGAGGATACACTGCTGTCATTTCTCATAAGTCGCCGGCTGGGGAGAGAGTGCGGCCGAGGACTGAAAATGTCATCCGCTATCAGCACGGGGCTGGGTTCTCTGCTTGGGTTTGCCCAGAACATGAGTTTCCAGGAAGAAAACGTCAGTCAATCAGCCTGGAAACTCTAGAGTAGCTAGCGAAAAAAGGCTATGAACCCCACCCACACAGACCCTTTCCCACTACCACTTCTTAGATACAGTACTGCAGTCAAAAACAGAGGCCTGCTCCTTTTTATTTATTTTTTAAATCCTGCTGGATTGCTCCAGCTGCTCTGGGTGGCTTCCAACAAAATATAAAGGAACATGGCAAAACATCAAACGTTAAAAGCTTCCTGAAATAGGGCTGCCTTCACTTGTCTACAAAAAGTCGAACAATTGCTTATCTCTTTGTTTATCTGATGGGGTGCCACCACAGAGGCCTTGTTCTCTGTAACTTCCCTTCTTGCATTGAGAGGGAATTGCCGCAAGGCCCTCGGAGCTGGACCCCAGTGTCCAGGCTGAACGATGCGGGTGGAGATGCTCCTTCAGGTATACTGGGCCAAGGTTGTTTAGGGCTTTAAAGGTCAGCACCCACACTTTGAATTGTGCTTGGAAAGCCCACTCCGCGCCCCCCCCCCACTTTTGGGGCCTAGCAGATGGGAGAGGTTTCTAACTGAAAACTATATCTTTAAAGAAAAAAATAATAATTATGATGCTTCTTGCTGTGGATCTCTTTTTTTCTACAAATGTACCTAAGACCTATTTTGCATGTTATAAAAGGGCTCCAGGCAATGTACCTTGCGGAAAGCCATACTTTCTAATTTTCTAGAATGTAATATTATATTTCTATCCTGCCTTTTGTATAAGTAGCTCAAGGGGGCACACTCTTTTCTCCTCCCCATTTTTATCCTCACAACAACCTAATGAGGCTTCAGTTAGGCTGAGAGACAGGGATTGGTGCATGGTCACCAGTGGGAATCACCAAGTCTCCCAGGTCCTAGATGGACTCTCTAACCTAGTGATGGCTAAACTTGCCCCACCAGTGGTTTTGGGACCACATAACACCAGTTCTGAGAGATCTGCATTGGCTCCCAGTACGTTTCCGAGCACAATTCAAAGTGTTGGTGCTGACCTTTAAAGCCCTAAACGGCCTCGGTCCAGTATACCTGAAGGAGCGTCTCCACCCTCATCGTTCAGCCCGGACACTGAGATCCAGCGCCGAGGGCCTTCTGGCGGTTCCCTCATTGCGAGAAGTAAGGTTACAGGGAACCAGGCAGAGGGCCTTCTCGGTAGTGGCTCCTGCCCTGTGGAACGCCCTCCCAGCAGATGTCAAAGCAATAAACAACTATTTTACTTTTAAAAGTCATCTGAAGGCAGCCCTCTTTAGGGAAGTTTTTAATGTTTGATGCTGTACTGTTTTTAATATTCAGTTGGAAGCCGCCCAGAGTGGCTGGGTATAAATAATAAATTATTATTATTATTATTATTACATTTCCTATCATCCCTGACCACTGGTCCTGTTAGCTAGGGATGATGTGAGTTGTAGTCCCAAAACAGCTGGAGGGCCAAGTTTGGCCATCACTGCTCTAGAACCAGAGGTTCCTATCCTGTGGTGCTCCCTTTAGTGCCTCTCCCGAAGCAGAAGTCTCTTTTCCTCCTCGACAGCCTGGATGTTCTCAACATGAGTGGTTGTTGAGAGGCACCAAATAAGCAGGGCTATTGCAATTGGTACAGCAGGCACAAAAAATAATAATTAAGTGGCCTACAAAGGCCCTCAGCAATTTTCAAGTGGTCTACAGAAAACAAAGTTGGGGAAACCACTGCCCTGTACCACACCGGCTCACCTGATGTGTGTATTCACATGGAAACCCATAGCATGACCCCCAAGTTCTGTACACATCTGCATGGGCCACAGTTCTCTGTTGCAATTCCTGTGACTTTGGTGACTGAAAAAAACAAGTGTCACTACAATTGTGGGAATTGGCAACCGCAAACCTCAGAGATCATCACTTCATCTGTTGTGGAGAAAATAATTACTGGATGCCCTCCCTCCTCCTTTTCAACTTCTAGCTCTGAAGAACAGAAGCAAATTGAGTTGCACAGGAGTAGCTGGGGATACACCTCCCTGCCAGGAAAGATGAAAGGAAATAATTCTGGTAAATCTAGACAGGGCTGGAAGGCAGCTAAATTATTGCCTCCCTCTCCTTTCTCTTTCAGGGCCAAACTAGACTTGACATTAAATGTGTCTTTGCTTTTAACTTTTTAAATGCAAATAACACCAGTTGGGGGAGGAAGTGATAATTATCTGGATCTTATGGGGGGGGGGATTTAACCATTTCCTCCCCTGCTGCAGTTCTGAGGAAAATCCCTCCTCTGAAGCTAGTATTTGCATTAAAAGGAAATTCCCCCATTGGGGCCTTAAGAGATGAAGAAAGGGATTGCTTATCCTGCTCACAGGACATAGCAGGATGCAAGCTAAGACCTCTTTCTCCCTTGAGCTGCAAGTATCAACCTGTGTTTTTCATAATGCCCACTGTTAAAAGATACAGCTAGTTTCCTGAACTGTCCTAAACTCATAATTAACTAACCACCCTCCACCCGTGGCTGATCTTGGGGTCTCAAAATTTGAGCAGCACCTTGCACAGTGCAAAAATTCAGTGCCCCTCCGCCTCTCGTGCTGCACTCTAAATCACCACCTCTGTCCTCCACCTTATAGTGAGACCCTGCTTTCTTTTGTTGATATCCCCAATGTATCATTTCCCTGCCCTTTTCTCACTTTTACTAGCATGTTGGAACCTTGTTTACTCATTCAGGTTTCACACTGATAATGGTAATCCATCGATCTATTAAAACAGGGCTATATACAGTTCCTTGACAGGACTTCAAAATAGAGGCCTGCATAAGGGCTCATTGTCCCTTACTAGGAAAGGAGGGAAGAGTCTGGGCTGTACAGGATTCCCTGGGGAAAGTTACATGCTTTAAATCAGGGGTAGCCAACTCCCAAGAGACTGTGATCTACCGACAGTTAAAAACTGGCAGTGATCTACCCCCTTTTTGAGGTTCTGGTCTAAGTTGTTGAGATTTTTTAGGGAGGAGGAAAGCCCCATTTTTAGGGGTTCAGCCAGATCCGCTCCACTTCCCAGTGGGGAGGAGTTGCGGTGGACCGCGTGGCCTTCCACTCCCCACCAGGGACGGGGGACTTTGTCCCCCATTACCCAAGGGATCCCGGCCACGTCAGAGCCTGGCTAGCCAATCCGCTGGCCAGGAGGGCATGGCCAGGGCAGTTTAAACGGAGGAGCGAGCCGGAGGACTTCCTCTTGGACTGGACTTCCTGCGCAGCGGGCAGAAGTCAGATATAGTTGAGTCCAATCAATGCCTAAGCCAATACCGCTCACATTCTGTAATTCAATAAAGTTGTGGCCAAATATGCCCAATAACATAAAATTAATATCTGTGTCCTGGTGTGAGTTATTTCCCAATGAGGGGGTGCCTGAGGGGTCTCGATATGCAATAGATCACGATCTACCTGTTGGACATGCCTGCTTTAAATGTCATATAATTTTATGGTGTGGATGCAACTTCCTTCTTTAATCCTCTTTTACCTCAGTTTTTCCTCGCCGTGTCACCTACATAAAATTAGGCCAAGGCCTGCATTTGGCCCTTCAGCCAGTGGACTGCCCCCATTTTCTTTCTCCACGGTGGGCCTGTAGTTTCTAACTGATTCCCTCCCCCTTTTCTTTAAAGGAGAGTCAAGACTTGGAGAGGCAGAATGCCGCTTTGCGCCGGGAGATCAAGCAACTGTCAGATGAACTGAAACACTTCTCTGCCATGCTGACTTCCCACGAGACTCACTGCTCCATCCTCCATACGCAGCCCCCAGCACCCACCGAAGTGCTTTTCACGCCACTCCCCTTTCCCCAGACCCACATCAGTGCCCCATGCTTCCAGCACTGAGAGCAACTTCTAGGACTGGGAAAAGTTTGCAGAATCCATGCCTGGACAGAAGGAGGAGGAGGAGAGATATACTTCACCACTATGGACCATTTAGGGGGTGGTATTCCCATATATCTGTTGGCAGGTGCTGTTCTGAATAAGGAGTAAAATGTCAGTAGGATTTGGCCTTTGTGAAGAACCTGTGACATGCTAGACTCACCTGCAGGGTATTGTGTGTGTGTGATTTAATGTACAGTAACCGCTATCAGTACTGTTCTGTTGTTTGCACTGATCTTCTTATCACAGAGCCTTGTACGATAAGCCATGTTCTGTTGTAAAATGTATACTAGTGGTTCTGTGGACACAGAGAACAAAAGGTGTTGTTCCATTATTTTTTTAAATAAAGATCTCTTTTATATATATACGGTATATATATATAAGTTTAATGTTTTATTTTTAAAACCTGGCCTGACCTTCCCCTGCAGAGTTAAGAAACGACGAGACAAGGAAAACTGGGCAAGGAAGCCACTGTGAATTGTTGCTGCATATTCAGGACAAAATACATGTTCTACACAATGAACAATGCTGTGCTTGGGGTTTTGTTTGCTAAACAGCAGCCACAGAGGAGACCAAGGCGGACTAAGACTGCAGTGGTGGTCAGGGAATTTAACCCTCTGTCCCAGCCATGGTCCTCATCCAAATTCCTCACCCACAGCTGCTATTTGCCCTGGGAGGAAGTCATTCTGAGGCTGCTTCCAGATTGTCACTACTTTGCAGGTGGGATTTAAGCATATGCTGGCAAATTTAGGGTTGTATAGTGAAAGTGGACTTTGAACTCTTCCAACCACAACAAGCCCACTTCCAAAAATATCAAACTTTCTGTGGTAACTTGTGACAGGGAAATGCACTAGCAGGTTTGGGGTGGCAATTGAGTGGTGCATCGTGTACCGTATTTTTTGCACCATAACACTCACTTTTTTCCTCCTAAAAAGTAAGGGGAAATGTCTGTGCGTGTTATGGAGGGAATGCCTACGGGTGGCATGCGTAATAACCTTCCTCCAAACAAGCAGACACCCCAAAAAGTTTTTGCAAATAAATCAGGACAAACGCTCAGTAAAAAGGTGGTCTACTCTGGTGGATAGAAAATCTGGTCCTGAAAAATGTTGTAATAGTTATGCAATACACAGAGGCAGTGAGCTGTGTAGTTACATTGCTAATTGGTTTGGGAGGTACAGTACAGCGAAGCTATGGCACAAATTCCATAAAGCCAGGCATAATCTGTTCTGTCTTTTGAAATAATTACATAGAAACACCAAAGTTGAAGTATTTCCTGTTAGCTCTAGGACTGAACCTTCCCCCCTCTGATGGGAGCTACTGTCCAGTCCTCCATATAGCTGCAATGGAGAACTTGAGGCTGCATCTCTGCACATTAAAGATAGCTTCCATTGAGAAAATTGGGCCTGATAAATACTAGTTAAAACTTGTGTTAGAGAAAATGGGTGTAGACATGATTTTTGTTGGGGGGAGGCAGGACTTTGTTGGGGGGGCAGAACCATCATGATTGGTCACTTAGTTAAGCACTTCTATTGTTTAACTTGATGGGGGGCGGCTGCCACTCCCTGCCCCCCCCTATGCTCATGTTAGGGAAGGTGGGGGAGAAAGTGAGAAGGCTGCAAAATTCCTGATGCCTGCTTGTGTGCTTTAAGCAGCTGCTCCCATTCCCTATCTTACTAGTTTTCCCAGTGATTTTTCTGATCTGAGGAGGATTTGAGGCTGTGGTAATTCTCAGCTGCAACATTCTTCAGTAGAATAACATCCACACTGTGTCTTTTTGTCCAGAAAGGGTCTTGTGTGAGAAGCTTTGATAAACAGAGAACATATTGTTCTCCTGCTGTGGAGCAAATACTATTGTTGCATAAAAAAACTGTGCTTGGGTTGCCATAATTCCCATACGGAATACAAAAATGGCAACTTTGGGCATAACTAAAAAAAAAAAGCTCCTATCACCAGGGTTTTCCCTCCACACCCAACCCAGTGATCTCTCATTTGCCTTGCATAAAAAGGTAAAGGTACCCCTGCCCATATGGGCCAGTCGTGACCGACTCTAGGGTTTGCGCACTCATCTCGCTCTAGAAGCCAGGAGCTGGCACTGTCCGAAGACACTTCCGGGTCACGTGGCCAGCGTTTGCGCACTCATCTCGCTCTAGAAGCCAGGAGCTGGCACTGTCCGAAGACACTTCCGGGTCACGTGGCCAGCGTGACTAAGCTGCACTGGCGAGCCAGCACCAGCGCCGCTCACGGAAACGCCGTTTACCTTCCCGCTAAGTAAGCGTAAGCTCACCCCGCCGCGGGGATTCGAACCGCCGACCTTACGATCAGCAAGTCCTAGGCACTGAGGTTTTACTCACAGCGCCACCCGCATCGTAGATATGAAAAGCAGGGGTGGATCTCTCTAAGGCTCTCTAACTGGCCCTCAAAGACTCTCTCCAGGCCACGGCCCCTTCCCAGCTGCACCGCCTACCAAATTTGCTTTGCACACACCCCTCCAGTGCTTTCCCCTATTTCGTCCTTGAACTCTGATCGGTCCTCTTGCTCCCTTCGAAGGAGAACAGAGAGGGGTGTGTAGACACTGACTAGCCTACTGCACAAAGGTAAAATTTGCATTTATTGCTCTGCCCTCTTGAGGCTCTGGCCCCACTCACCCCTGGCATGTGGCCCCTAGAACATTGCCCAGAAGGGAATGTGGCCCCTAGCTAAAATATACAGTATTCCCCACATCTGCCGAGAATCATGGGCGCAAGTGGGGATGGAAAGCCCCATGAAATGTCCCTTGGACCTTTGAAATACCCATTTATAGTAGTGGGAGGGGAACTATAAGGCACTCATACAAAAACTACTAGAGGGAAGTCATGCCTAAAAATAATTTTTTAAAAAGACACTTCAGGTGGGCATATTAGGAAGCTGCCTAATTTGGTCCATCTAGCAAAGTATTGTATATATTGACTGACAGCCGGTGACTCGCTAGGATTTCAGACAGGAGTCTTTCTCAGTCCTACCTGAAGTTTGTTTCTTTGCGTATTTCAAATCTATGCTTCCAGGTGCCGTAAGAAGGCTGCAGAGATAGTGCAGGACAGTACGCACCCCGGAAATTATCTCTTTCAGCTTCTGCCTTCTGGAAGAAGGTACAGGGTTATAAAGACTAGGACTAGCCGCCTGAGAAGCAGTTTCTATTCAAATGCGATTTCGGTTTTAAACGCAGTGTAAAGTAGTCTCTATGGGAGTATATTTAATTTAATTATGGGGTATCAGAGTTTTTAGGGGGCTAAACAGGCTGGGATAGCTGGGAAAGCAGGCTTGTTGGTTGTTCAATGTCTGATGTAGATTTGTTCAATTTTGTTGTTCTGTATGGGGCAATGACAATAAAGATTATCGTAATGTATCGTATTTATATATAAAAAATAATATACCACTGTAGCCTCCAAGCAATGTAAGGATTGAATCTAGAACCTCTTACATTGAAAGTATGTATTGTTGTTGTTGTTGTTGTTTAGTCGTTTAGTCGTGTCCGACTCTTCGTGACCCCATGGACCAGAGCACGCCAGGCACCTCTGTCCTCCACTGCCTCCCGCAATTTGGTCAGGCTCATGCTGGTAGCTTTGAGAACACTATCCAGCCATCTCGTCCTCTGTCGTCCCCTTCTCCTTGTGCCCTCCATCTTTCCCAACATCAGGGTCTTTACCAGGGAGTCTTTTCTTCTCATGAGGTGGCCAAAGTAGTGGAGCCTCAGCTTCACGATCTGTCCTTCCAGTGAGCACTCGGGGCTGATTTCCTTAAGAATGGATAGGTTTGATCTTCTTGCAGTCCATGGGACTCCCAAGAGTCTCCTCCAGCACCATAATTCAAAAGCATCAATTCTTCAGCGATCGATCAGCCTTCTTTATGGTCCAGCTCTCACTTCCATACATCACTACTGGGAAAGCCATGGCTTTAACTATACGGACCTTTGTTGGCAAGGTGATGTCTCTGCTTTTTAAGATGCTGTCCTGGTTTGTCATTGCTTTTCTCCCAAGAAGCAGGCGCCTTTTAATTTACACCACTATTAGTGATGGCCCCTCCCCCTATTCTGAGGCAAGTATTCCTTGTGGGATTAGAAGCCAGAGATCAGAATTAAGAATTTAAGAAGAGCATGCTGGATCAGGACTACGGCCATTTAGTCCAGCATCCTCGAAGTGGCCAGCCAGAGGCCTGTGCGAAACCTGCAAGCAGGACTTGAGCGCAACAACCCTCTCCCCTCCGGCAGCTGCCAGCAACTGGTATCCAGAATTCGTAAGGCGAGGTCTTGTATAGTAAGCAATGCTCATACTGAACGAAGAGGCTGTTGCCATGTCATTGTGTGATGCCAGGAGGCCAAGTATCGGGAGATCAGATGGATTTGAACTTCAAGTCAATGGAGTAAAGCAAGCAAGCATACAACAAGCTGCAAAACCCAGGAGACTGGTCAGTGTGAGAATAAAGGTAGAGGAAATGTAAAGAAGGAGCAAAACTAGGTACAAAAGGAGGTTAATTTACCTGCTGGAGGAGAAAGTTTGGAATCAGTGTCAACAGTCGGAGGAAGCAGTTGAGGAGGACTAGAGGAAGACCCTACTGCATGGCTCTTTAAAGTTTTAAATAGTGTCTTGGTTTTTCTCAGATGGTAATAAACAATGCTTTAGCGTATCATTTGTCCAGCATAACCAAATATGAGTTTTTCCATCTTTGAGAGATGACCAACCTGGCCGCAACCAATAAGCAAATTACAGGCGTTTGCAATCAAGGGTAGCATTATCCCTTTCAAACACAGAAGAAAAGCACAGTTTAGGGTCTTATCCTAACCAGGTTCTCTAGACTAGAGAATAAGTTCCCCTGATTCCAGGATGACCAGCTTTCAAGTAAGCATAGTACAAAATGCAGCATTTGTTGCAAATGCTGACATCTATTGGCCCTAAGGAAAACTGCAGCATTAACAACTAGAGTGCTGAACTTTTAAACAATGGAATCCTACACTGTAAGTACACCTTAACTTAGAATCAAGTCTCACCGAGTTCAGTGGAGTTCACTCCAAAGTAAATGTGCATTTCTGCTTCAACACAATCCATTTAGATAATGGTTACTTGTGTTAATGCAGACTATGATAATCTGATGATGACTAATTCTGGTTACGCCTCAAAGGTCAGTGCTGAACCTCTTCACTTGCTGACACGTCCAACTTTGCAATCACATGATTTTCATTTGTGACATTTGCTTTAAGTTTCAATTTCATTATAAATAAGGACCTCACCCAAAAAAAGGGGGAGGAATCAGGTAATCCCAGATACGCAGAAGACCCATCTCACATATGTGTACGGGGAGATGAGCTTTTGGTCCTTCCTCCACCATGCAAATTAGAATGACAGCTCAGCCTAGTGGGTGTACAAAACTGCAAATACAACAGCAGGATGAAAATGTATTAAAGAGTAGTTAAGATAAGTGATTAGTAGCCTGATTGTTTATCCACCTCCTAAAACATGGACATCAAGCCACTTTAGGCAGCTAGATCATATGGGATTTCCCCTTTATTCTTTTTGAGGAGGGCTGGCCCTACCATTGGGTAGAGTCAGGCCACAGGGGGCACAGAGGCAATGTGTTGCAGGAGAGAGCTGTGGGTTGCCCTGCACTCCCTGCTTCTCTCATGTCTGGTGCAGGATGCGGCCCTGTCACAAGTGTGGAAGTGAAACCCAACTGCAAGTCTAGCTGACTTCTGTACACGGAATGTGGGGCAATAATCATCTTGTCCTTCACCTCGGGCAGCAAAATGTTTTGGGTCAGCCCTGCTTATATACCTGCTTTCAAGTGTACGAGAAAATTTCCCTAATCCTGGCAGCTCTAATGGAAGAGGAGTCTCTGCTGATCTCCTCCTAGCTCTCCCTATTGTCCTCCCCATAAAGAATCCCAATGTTTTGACTCATTTCTTCATAATGACTGACCACTGGGTTTCCTTACCTTTACAGAATGTTTCTGCACTAGGCAGCCTGACCTGAGGTAGAAAACAGAAAGATAAATCATGTTATGTAGTGTAGTTTCACCCTGGGCCAACAGGGGGATACTGTATATAGTTTTCACTCAGGTCTGTAGATAGTTTTCACTCAGGTCCGCGCCAGTTATTTTAGGCGGGAACTCTGGGCTGTTGTGGTTACAATGTTGACAGCCGGCTGCCTATAAATACAGGCCGGCTGAGCTGTTCGCAGTCAGTTCTATTCCAGCTTACCAGAATAAAGAGCTACTTGAAGAAATCGCTGTGCCGGCTGCTATGTCAACCCACGACTTAACACTGGCGACGGCACATAGACCAGCTTAGGCGCAGGGTTGGGGACTTGGACACTACCGAGGTGCCCCCAACTGCACTTGCGGCTCCAGAAGAGACACGTACAGATGGCGAGGCCCCACCTACACCTCCCTCGCAAACTGCCAGCGTGGAGCCGAACCAAGCCGTTTCAGAACAGACTCAGACCACTCCACTTGCGGAGGCTCCACTCTCAGCAGCGGATCCAGGGGAGTTGGTTCCAACGCCACCTAGGGTCGCACCACAGCCTCAGCGAGAACTGTGTGGCCCTCCGGACTTGGCTACCAGTCCCCGGCGGTCTGGCAGAGTTTCCAAGCGCCCAACTCATTTAAAGGACTATGTTGTTGGACAGGTATCACTGTTGGTCTAAGTATGGGAAATGTAACCGATATGCTTTTGTGCCTAATTGAACCATTACGCGTAGTGCTGTATATAAGGAAACCATTACGATTGTAACTAACGCCTTATCTCGGTGGGGAGGGGTGTTATGTAGTGTAGTTTCACCCTGGGCCAACAGGGGGATACTGTATATAGTTTTCACTCAGGTCTGTAGATAGTTTTCACTCAGGTCCGCGCCAGTTATTTTAGGTGGGAACTCTGGGCTGTTGTGGTTACAATGTTGACAGCCGGCTGCCTATAAATACAGGCCGGCTGAGCTGTTCGCAGTCAGTTCTATTCCAGTTTACCAGAATAAAGAGCTACTTGAAGAAATCGCTGTGCCGGCTGCTATGTCAACCCACGACTTAACAAATCAGATTCAAAGTACAGTAGTAAAAGCAGACAGATAATTCTAACCCTCTAAATATTTTATTGGTGTGAAACACAATAGATTTATCCGCCTTTATGGCATCCCATTTTTGAACGCTCAAGGCAGCTCTCAATACAACCACTATGTAATAAAATAATGCAGATGAAACTGCTTTTATTATTATTACAATTATTAATTACCTTCTACACCACCACCAACTCCTTCTACATACCCTATTAGTGAAAGTTTTGTAAGAATCTGTCAGAATATTTGAAGAACCAGTGCTGAAGAACAAATGACATAATCGCAAAAGGCTGGAAGGCAATCAATCAGGTTTCTGCAATACTTCTGGTCTAGGAAAAAAGAGAGCAGCACTAAAGCGAATCCTTCATCTCAGTTATCTTCAAAAATCCCCACTCCTCAGCTGCAAAGAATTTCTTGTTTTACAATATGTGGCTTGTTGGACTTTAACCACATTTTGCTGCTTCCCAGCCTACTCCCACCTCTGGCCTTTTCCTTCCACTGAACTCCCTTGGAATTTCCAACACATTCCATCACCACAAGAAGCTCAGATCATGTCCTCTTTGCCTTAGAACCGTAACTTTCCCCTTATTCTTAATATTTGCATAGCTGCCCCAATGGTGTTTAGAATTTTCTCTTGGTCCCTTCAAGTAGAGAGTTGCTAGGCGTCCCTGAGTTCCTTTGCCTTCCATGGGTACAGCTTCCTCATCAAGGCATCTTCAGGAACAGGGCTGTCCCCTCAATTTCTTCTTGTTGTGCAGGAGCTGTGCAATAGGGAAAGGGGGCCAAACTGTGATTCAGTGAAACTGATTGGCAGTAAGGTTCAGGACAGAAAAAAGGAAGCACATACAACGCATAGTGAATGTACCAATATAAGAACATAAGAAGATTCCGCTGCTGAGTTAGGCCCAAGGCTCTTCTAGCCTAGCATCCTATTCTCACAGTGGCCAATCAAGTGTGACTCCAAGCGACTAGGATTCGGAGGTGTTGAGAAGAATGCAATGTCATGCAAGGATGATTGCTCCATCAAGGCAAGCATTTGGGCTTCCATGAAGGAATGACCAACCCCCTCTGTTCTCTTGCTATGCATGAGGTTCTCCTGAAACCCCACCCCCAGGAAATTGTGTGTGTGCGAGGAGGGAGAGGCAGGAAAGCCCTGTGGTGGAAGTGGAAGTCCTTGCACATAGCCATCATAGCTAGTAGCCACTGATAGCCTCCCCCACCCCCATGAATTTGTCTGAAGTCCTTTTAGAGCCTTCAAATTTGGTACAATTTGTAAGATGATCCTGTAGGTAAATTGGTCCCAAGCTGTTGAGGGCTTAATATACTAATAGTAATACAGTACATTGAATTTGGCCCGGTATCTGCCCTTCAGCATAAGCTCTATGGATGAATTACAAAACAAA